GAAGGGTGCAACAATGAATGAATGGAATTCCAAAATCTCTGTAGATGTTCATTGAAATGAAAAATAAACAAACTAAATTAATAAAAAAAAAGAAGTCTCTAAGTACATATATTAACTACTTATCTCAGTCCCGTAAAACACATACTGCCTACCTTCCTGCCAGCAATTAGGACAAACGAAATAGTATTGTAGGGTATGAAGAAAGTTCTGGCTGTTGTATACATTCCAAGCCATAAGGAAGATCAATAGGTTATTTTAACCGATAACTACTTGCTGCTAATCAGAAGGGTGGTGGTTCAAACCCACCAGTTGTTCTGTAAGGAAGAGATGCAATTATCTGCTTCTGAAAAGATTTGCACCTTGGAAAGGTTACAGAGCAGTTCAACTCTGTCCTATAGGGCTGTTAGGAGTTAGAATCAACTTGATGGAAAAGAGTTTCATTGTTTCCCCCTTTTGGTTTAAAGGTTCCATTAGGGATAAGGAAAATAAGAAAGGCAAGTCCCCCTTTTGGTTTAAAGGTTTCATTAGGGATAATGAAAATAAGGCAAGAATAAAGCTAATTCACTATAGATCTTGAGAATCCCCCTTCCTAACATCTTCCTGAGTAAAACTGAATATTACTAGTTAGGTTTTTCCCAACAAAGTGTGGAAACTATAGAACAATATCATTGATTTTACATGGAAGCAAGATTCTACTGAAGAGTATCCAAAAACGACTGGAACAGCACATCTGCAGAGAACTGCCACAAGTCCAGGCTGGGCTTAGAAGACGTCGTGTTACTAGGGATATTGTAGCTGATGTTAGATGGATCTTAGCTGAAAGCAGAGAATACCAGAAGAATGTCTATCTGTGTTTCATCGACTATGCAAAGGCGTTTGACTATGTGGATCATAACAAACTGTGGTTGACTCTGAGAAGAATGGGAATCCCAGAACACTTGATCGTTCTAATGCAAAACCTTACTTGGACCAGAAGGCAGTCGTCAGAACAGAGCAAGGAAACACTGCATGGTTCAAAATTGGGAAGGGCGTACGCCAGGGATGCGTCCTGTCTCCATACCTTTTCAACCTGTATGCAGAACAGATTATCTAGGAGGCTGGGCTCTATGAGGAGAAATGTGGT